TAAGTATCTTGTGATTGGTAAATTAATCCAACAGTGAAAAAAAATAAACACTACAAAAACCCTGTTGTATTTTAGCTCTCTGAAATCTGATCTTAGTTGTTTGGATGGATGGAAACCATGTTGTCACCCAATATAGGAAATAGTCAAAGCCAAATGGACCTCCATCGCCAATTATGCACCGATAATCTGTATTCACGTGTCTGAGGATTCAGCGAAATTGGAAAAGATCCAACAAGTTATCTGCAGCAAATTGGAGATCCCTGATCACATCTGGAGAAACAGTGATGAAGAAGATTGAGCTGCACAGATCATGAAAGGTTTGAGAAGTAAAAAGTTTGTGATTTTCTTGGATGATTTGTGGGAAATTTTGATCCATGACATGGCCTTATAGTTATCTGCTTCTGGAAATTGAGAGAAGGATGAGAATTAAGGCAACGAATTCGCGAAACCGGAGTCAACAAGATGGCAACATAGGATCCTAATTTCAATTTTCTCAAACTGAAAAACCCAATCTTCTTATTTGCAAACTTTGATACTTAGAGATACTTCAAACTTTCCCACAAGGCTTGTTTCAAGTCCTAAACTTACTAGAAAATGATGGTTTTACTAATCTATCCACATAGATTTATGAATTGATAAACCTGCAATACCTTAATCTATCATTCACTTATATACAATAGTTACCATTTGAGATGAAAAATCTAAAGAAGCTTAAGATTCTACAGCTAGATCGAACAGAACTACTCATGATAATTCCCAAATATGCTATATCAAGTCTGTAACAACCCAAAAGTTAAAAGAAAATAAAATCATAAATTGAATGCGGAAGCGAAATAATACAGTTAAGATTTACATTTCTTACGCAATAGTTTAAAATACCCAATAGGGTTACGAGAATATTCATTCTAAAGGAACAAACGAAAATTAAAGAAATAAACGAAAAGTAAACAACTAAGCATTCTAAGACGACCTTCACTTGCTTTTGAAGGAGTCCGGATGGTAAACTATTCACAACCCCCTTATTGATCGGAATTTGGATCCTAATCCTCTTGATCTGAAATAGTTAATGAATGGGTGAGCAACACTAACCCAATAAGAATATCACACTACTCACTGATACAGAAACTGAATGTTGGTAAAAATCATAAAAATAACAAATGAACCTCTTAATTTAAGTAAATTCATTTATCATAAGTAAAATTATTTATTACATACTTATTATTGCGAGATTTTTAAAACCGACCTATAGAAATAATAGCTCAATAACATCATAATTTCATATTCAAGTAAGTAAAAATAACAACTTTTCCTTTTTATTTGCCTACTGGTATCCATGGAAGTCCATGGAGATGTCCCACTACGCGTGAACCAACATCCAAACTTGTTAACTAACCGGTCGTCTCCATACCCTGTCCGTTATGAGCGTCAAAAATACCATCCCTCAATACCCCGTCCGGTATGAGGGTGAAACGGGTCGTTCCCATACCCCGTCCAATATGAACGCCAAAAATATCATCTCTCAATACCCCATCCGATATGAGGGTAAAGCAGGTCGTCCTCATACCCCGTCCGATATGAGGCGACGTTCACGGTAGGGTTCCCTATGTACCTGATCCGTCCATCATCCCTCAGGATATACAGTAAGGCTACCATCTATTCATTCACTTAACTAATCAATTTTTCGTTTATATTTAATTTTCAGTTTCATAATTTAACTGTAAATCAACACAAGACAAATAATACATGTATCAAGGAAACACAACTCAATTATTTTACCAATTTCAGTATATTATCATGCATTTAAAGCTGTAAAATCAAACAATCGATTAAACAGGACAACAATAATAAATAATCGGTTCTGTTTCCATTAGTAACATGTAATTAATTCTCAAAATTTTTTAAATTACGCAAAATACCATGTTATTGATAATTAAACTTTAATTCCATAACAGAGAATAAAGTGAAGGATTTTTATCCGAATCGGTGTCCGAAATACTAAACTTTCAGCTGCGCCTACTAACGGTCCCTGGGTTTCCTAAATTTTTCTGCGGAGATTGAAACACACTTCACATACTTAAAAATACCTCAAAAAATCCAAAATTAATGTTAAAAACCTTTTCCGGCCAATTTCAAAATTCTGGCATGGTGGCACCACCGTGCTCAAGTGACGACACTACTGCTCGCAGCGGCGATTTGTCTCGAACTGACCGTTTTTGACCAGTTTTATATCCATCTCTGCGAGAAAACATGTTAGGGGGTCTCAATTGACCGAAAAAAATTAAAAAACAAAAACTTATTGGTGGCAGAATTTTTTGGTGCGGCGGCTCCGCCAGCTCACATTTGCAGCTTGGTGTTTTTCTTCGGTCAACCTGTAGAAAATAGAATGATGAACCCAATGGTGGAAAAATCGCACGAAACGGGAAACGAGAAGGAGCTTATCGAAGGCGATTTTTTATTTTGCCCGCGGCGGCACTGCGGAGCTTTACCCGTGGTTTCCGGTTCATCCGCCGTTTCTTTTGCTCCGATTTGGGAGTGTTTGAAATCAAATTTCAAGCGGATAAGAGAATTTTTACTTTTTTTAGCAGTCGAATGTGGCTTCGGCGCAGCGGCGGGTGGCGGTCGGCTCCCTTCTCTTGTGACTGGTTCTTCTTCTCCGGTAGGGAGCTAACGGCTAGGATTTGAGTTCGATGTGATGCGAGATATTTATATCTATCTCTCTTAAATTTGAACTGTTCATCGTATTTGATCTCGACCGTCCGATCACGTTTAAAGAGAAAATAAATTTATACCATTCATCGTGATTTGATCTTGATCGTACAATCGCGTTTAAAGAATGAACGAATCTAAACCGTTCATCGTGTTTAATCGCAACCGTTCGATCGTGACTGATGAGGAAACAGATCCAAACCATCTGATCGCGAGCATGCGGATTGCCAACGTGGCCTCATTCATGGCACCGAATCAGTGTGCCTTACCACGCGGTGCACTCCAGTTCGTCGGGATTGCTAATTGGGCGATCCTACGTAGTATATTTTTTCTTAATTATGTTTTGACCCATAGTTTCTGATTTTTCTTTCAAAAACACTCTCCGAACTCAAATTTTCACCCATTTTTTTCAAAATTGT